ATCCCTGCCTGGAGCACCCCCAGACAGCGACTCAGAATAGATGAAGAACAGGCAACCATTTCAGCATGCACTTTGACATGGTCTAGTGCTTTTAAGCCACGAAAGCATGCAATTCCCAGCCACCCCCATGGCTGGCTCAGCCACCCCAGCTCCTGGCCCTTAAAAAAAAGCCCCTACTTACTGGGTTCTGCCCAGCGGTGGTGGGGGGAGGGCAATCCCCAGTGCCCCAAGATACATGGAGGGCTATGTCACAAGCCCCCCAACCCCAACGGCTACCTCACCCACCCCAGCTCTGGCCCTTTAAAAAACAAAAACAAACAAACCCTGGGCTCACCAGCTCCTGCAGTGGCCTCAGGGCTTGAGGGGGCTCATAACAGAGCCCCTCATGTGGTGTGGGGCAGTGGGGATCACCCCCAGTCGGGCAGAAACTGGTGAGTCTGAGTTTTTTCAGGGTTTTTTTTCTTAAAGGGCCAGACCTGGGATGGGTAGGGCAGCCATGTGGGAGTCTGGGGGAGCAGGCGGGGGTCGGGGGGCTCATGCAGAGCCCCCCACACAATGTAGGGCAGTGGGGATTGCCCCCTTACCCAGCAGCACCCGGTGAGTTGGGCCTTTTCTTTTCAAAGTGCTGGGTGCTAGAGCGGGTAGGTCAGCCATTGCTGGGGCTGGGAGAGTGGGCAGGGGCTCAGATTCGGCCAGATCCATTCGAAATGGTGATTCAAATCACTATATCAAATCACTGTCCCCCAAATTGGCTGAATCCAAATCCAAAGTGAATACTAGCCGCTTCGCACAGGCGTAGTGTCAACCTATCCAAGATATTCAATTATTCAACAATGTGTTCATTATCAAGCATGAGAGCTTGTATTCACAAGTATGGAATAACTGTGTTATCCTACCACCTTGACAAATTCCATTTATATTGCATTTTCTCTAGGAATAAAAAAGAACTTTTAAAACAAAAACCTAAGAGGTTGAGGCCCAGCTGTTTCTGTTTAAGCCCAACTGTTTCTGTACTGATGCAGCATAACTACAGTGTGATGTCATCTGAAGACCCAGCAGAACATACTCTGGATGATCTTTAAAATATGTAAGGGTCTGGCCTCTCCTTTCTATGTACATAATTCCCATCAGAGTGAGGGGGGGGGGTTATGTGCAGAGAAGAAAATAAAGCTGGACTCCATGGATATAAGAGACAGAAAGAGAGCAACATTTTGTTACCTTTAACATTTGTTTTGTTCCCTATAATAGTTTATTAGGTCCTAAGTATCAGTATGAAAGAATCTGAGGACAGAATGATTACAGATTCTTATTCATTTTTTCATAAGCCTATGAAGATTTGAGTTCTTTGAATTCTTGTATTCCATTTGTTTCTATGTTTTGATGTATATGCATGAAGATAGTTCTGCTGTATAAAATTTACTATATACATAATAGAAGCCTTTTCTGATTTAAAAGCTGCAGTAAGAGGAAAATAAATGTAATAAGCATTTGTACAATTCACATGCATACACATACACACAGAAGAATGATGGCATTTATTATCTATCCAGTCATATAAGATGATAGCACAGTATATACAATTTGGAACAACAGGCAACAGTGAAAACCTGAAGTGATAATTCTCCCTCAATGCCAAGGGAGCATGATTGTCACTTGTCATTATCGTTTGCGTTTCTCTCTCTATTTCTTCATATACCTTAAACTGGATTTTCTTAGATAATTCAACATACTTAGTAATGTAGAAAGTCAATTAATATTTACTGACCTGTCTCTGCTTCTCCGTGATGGAAAGGCAGCATTACAGCCAGCCACTGTGCAGACATGCATCTCTTTTAAATGAACATTCCTGTAGTGCAGCTTCACACTGTAGGAACTCTTGAAACTCTTCTTGCACACATAGCAGATCTTGGGATCAGGGCTTGAGCACAGCTCACCTTCTGGGGAGAACTTCTGAGGGCTGTTGTAGCTGAATGTTGAAGTGAAACTTTCATGAAGAGCAGCCATACTTGCGCTGCCTCCATTATACAGTCCATATTGGCTCATGTAAAACATATCATATGTAGGGTCTGTAAACTCTTCCTTCACCTTAATTACATCCTGGTTAGAAGATTCATTGTGATTTTCATCTGGCCTGTTTATCATAGATCTTTCATGCATTTCATCACCTTCCATGGATTCCTCACACAATTTTGGCTCTGAAGATTCTGACTCATTTTCATAGTCTCTTTCATGCTCCTGGTCTTCTGATGTCATGCTGTCTGCCCTTCTTATCTCTGTCCTGGAAATGCACCTGCTTCTATCACTTTTAGAAAAATCTTTCACAGACAAACCTGGGCTCATTTCCTCCTGAGAATGGCAATGATTGTCATGACCAATATCATTAGCCATTGTGCTGTTGTCATTAGTCTCTTCATCTTCATCAAACTCATCAGCTGTGTCAATAACTTCCTTTTCTATTTTAACCGGCATGCTTGACTTCCTTGGTTTCTTCTTGGGGGCAAGGTCAGCATTAAGCTCAGGGGTGGGCATGACCACTGTAGGTGTTGACGGCTCTGGAGGGGGATGTTGGTCCAATGCACTTGTGGCTGGTATTATAGGACTGGTAGGTAGTGAGGTCGGAGGGCTCACCATCTCTCCAGGAGTAAGTAGATTTCTGTAAAAAGGGGGAACAGGCTGGACAGTCTTTAAAGCTGGAAACACCAACTGGCTAGGAAGAGGGTTCTGTAGTACAGGGTCTAGAGGGGGAGTGGTAAAGCCCATTGGAGGACGACCAGGGCTTGTTAAAGTTAGGCTGGATTTTGTACTTGCTATAACGGGGGTGGCAGCTCCTGATGTAGCACGGATTAGATCTTTGTCTCGGTTGTTCCTTAGCATAGGCATGTGAAGACGTGGGTTTGGGTTAGCGCTGTGACGATTGCGACTTCTAAGAGAACTAAAGACCATGTTGCAGCCTTCAATAGTGCACCGGTGCTTGATTTTAAGATGGACTGCATTGTAGTGAATTTTGAGAGTACCTTTGTCATAGAAAGTTTTACCACATGCATTGCAGAACACTCTCCCTTTTCTTGATGCTGACCCCATTCTCCTCATTCTGTGGATCCTGAATGAGCTTTTTGCGTGCTCCGTTTTGGTCAAATCATTGACAGGTGTAGATGTCTGAACAGGAGATGCACAAGCTGGCTCAGTTTTGGGTTCAACATTTGTGATGCTGGTCAGAGCATTCCTGCTGGATGCCTGCTCATTCTTGAATGGCGTGGGAGAAACTTCAGATTCACTGCTTTCATTATATTCATTTTGGGTTGTAAGGCTAGGTTCACGCAGCCTCATTGCTGGCTGTTCCAGCAGGAGACCATTTGGAGGTAAACCCAGCAGCGGAGCAGATACTGGATTTATGTACTGGAACGGTAGGAGGAATGCAAGGCTGTTAGGGATGTTTTCAAAATGATGAATGCTGGAAGGGTTGCTGTTCTCCAGGTGAGCAAGGAGACTCGGGCTCCTGGTGCGATTATTGCTTTCAATAAAAGTCCTTATATCTGAGTCTGTCTTTGAAGATGGCACAGCCACGGCCTGCCCTTCTTTTTCTTGAATTGCCATCAGCTCCACGATGGATTTGGTTTCCCCAAATCTCAGAAACTGCTGAAGGGTAATAATTTCTTCTTCCCTGGACATGATGGCCCAGCGGTCCAGCACCTTGCCTGCAGCATCCTAGAGGCCATATCAAAGAAACAACAAACACAAAGAAAAAAAAACTTATTGATTCTGCATAATTATTGGATTTGATAGAAGTTGCTCTGCAGCCTGCACATGAAACACTAAGCTCAGAAAACAACATGCAAACAGTGTTAATACTAGTCAACCCACAAAGCAAACTTTTCTGCCATGCAAATGTAGTAATTAGAGTCACAGTTAGAGAAACAGATTGAGTTTAATAATGTCAAAGCAAACAAAATGTGGACCACTGGGGCTCTGTGATCTAAAATGCCTTCAATACTGCTATTTTAACAACAGTGATCTATGTACTATGCAACTATTTAGCATACATTAGTATAAGACGTGAACTCTTGCTGTGCACCCCATTGTAAATGCAGAAAACTGTACCTTAATCCTTATTAAATGGTGACACTTCAGGAAAGAATTAAATAAAAGCATTTGACAGAATTCACTTTTTGTACATAAGTAGCCATAAGACTGAAATTGGTTAGGTGAAATCTCATAAAATGTTTTTCAAAGATTTTGAAACAAGGCAGACATCTCAATAATAGGACAAAAATATGAATATTCTGCATGTAGCCCCTATTTTTTTCCATGAGGGCAATACTTAAAAATGCTTTTATTACCAACTCACATCAAAAGGCTGAAACTGAGGAATGGAAAGAAAGACCATTTTTTAAACTGTTACCGGCAATTTATCGTAACCTTGAACCTGGGTTTCGTTTACACTTAAAATATGACTTTTTGGCAGCTTTGTTATAAAAGACAGTTACAAATATTTAAAAAGTAAACATCTGATGGATGTAGATAGCATAAATGTGTAAAAATGTTGTCTCTTAACATTGCCTTCTGATAGCAAGGGAAAAATCCAGAGAGAATACACATCAGTAATCACCAGACTATCTGTTGTTAAATATACATTAAAAAGCATTTCACACTTTCATTTTTGCTAGTAAGTATAAGATTTGCCTGGAGGTAGGACTTAAAAATTCTGAACTGTAATGTCAGGCAATCCATTCCAGCATGTATTGATAAAAAACAAATTAAAATACTTATATAATGAATACATTATTTTATTGACATCTTTGCCATTGGATTAATACTGGACATGTAACTATCACCAATAAAGTCTGTCCAAAGGGGTGGTCCAGTCTCTCCTGCATAGAACAATTAGAAGCCTCTGTCTGGAACTTCTCAATACTGTCTTTGGTCTTTTTTGACCCTGCATATCAGATTCAGAGCTTAGGGACTACCCTTTTTTAAAGAACTCACCAGGACTAGCTTGATTAGGGAGAGGGCAAATTTTATATTAAAATTATTTTTCAGTCAGCACAGTATTGATTTGGGGGAAGGGGGTGGGGAGAGGATGTTCCTGGGCATTTTATAGCACAGTAAATCACAACTTGCTCAAATGATGAAACACACACTTAAAACCCAGACTTGGTCTGGTCTTGATCATTTTAGTTCAGATTTGTCTTAACTCATCAGATGCAGTTAATGAAATGGGTCAATGCCATGCATGTTGCAATACTTTACATGAGGTTGTAGAGCTATTATTTTGGCTCATGGTGCCAGGAATGTAATTAACCTATGACAGCAATATAATGATGGGAAACCCTTAAACGGGCTCTGAACATACAAGCTAATACACACAGACAAATCTCTGCGTTTGTGCAGAATGTTCTTTGCTGGGGTCCATGCTTGTTACAAGTAATTCCTGTGAAGACATCTTGCAAGACCTGGCCACGATTTATAGACTTGGTTCAGGCAAGCTCCCTAAATGTATCTAGGGCTACTCTAACTCCTACTAGCTTACAATTTCACCAGCCAGCTGGAAGAGAGCACCTATTATACAAGAACTCACTGAGAACCATTGCAATTTATCCAGCAGGGCAGGAAATTCTTGGAAGGATGCATATAATTTAAAGCTTCAGGACTGTACTTTCCTTCCCTTCAACTTCCAAACTGGTTACATTTGGCAATCTGCCCTGCATACTTATCACAGGCTGTCTTGACTCCTACCACAAAACCCATCAAGTTTCCTTTTTCCTTGTCATAATTATGTTACTTCTAAAATAGCTTTAGGTCTTTGCCTCATATATGAACCACTACACACCATGTATCTTTAATGTGAAAGCCAATGAAGTTACCGCCTCCTCCCCACAACACAACTTGTACCTGAAAAAGCATTTGTGCACTTGGGAAAGGCACTGAATGGTTTGGTGATGGGACTGTTGGGTTTCTCTAATTTGTAGCAGTCACCAGTGTTGAACCGGGGACTCTATCTGCTGCCACCATCAGGCTGCTTGTGGCATTTTATTTGTAGTAATTTGTGTGTTTCTTTTTAAATAAATAAATACCCTCAGAGACCTGCCTAATGCATATATGTTTTAAAAATTTGGTTATTTAAATAAATAAAAAAATTAGAGTTGAACCATGCTGCACACATTATAACAAGTCATGAGACTGGAAATCTACAGATCCCACAGTAGATCGTTCCACATAAAATGAAGAAACTGATTAGTCTCTCTTCTCATGACAGCAGGATAGGTTCTTACAGTGTATGTTCTGGTAGTGCCCCTTGGGGCATATGGCATTGCTCCTTTTTTAGTGCCATATTGTTATCCTTAATTACATTCTTATAGCATGCCCTACAGAATGTTTTTTAGATGGGTGGGGAAGATTAAATGCTCTGGGCCATATTCTCAGGCCTTACTAAAGTCTCAGTGAGCATTTAAACAAGCAATAGAGGATTTGCTTGGCATGGGGTTATCCTTAGCTGTCATAAAGACAGCAGCCTCAGGATCAAGGAAATCAGAAAGTTGGTTTAAAAAAACCCTTTTCCTACTCCCATGAGCTATACTGAACGTTTGCACAGCTAAGGATTTACGTCAATTTACCAATCCCTTAAATCACCCAGTGACCCAGTCATTACCATCTTTAAAGCCAGTCCTACAAGGACCAGGCTTTGTCCAGTTTTCCTTAGCAGTGATGAAGAGAGAGAGA